AGCAGAAGCTTCCGTACTCTAGAACCGACAAGATGGTTGTTCGGTACAACCTGATCAGATCTTCCGGGTGTGCTCCCCACCAAGTTCCAGTGATTGTACGAAGAAAATTGATTCTTTGTTGGCATTTTTGTTTCACATACGCAATATGTTTTCCCCATGTGCTTTTGGAATCGAACCAGACACCTAAATACTTGAAAGATATACTTTGAGTGATTGTTCTACCCTTTAGTTGAAGCTGTAACTGTGCAGGATGATGCTTCGTAGAAAAAACAACCAACTCAGTTTTCTCCGGAGAGAATTCGATACCCAGCTTCATAGCCCAAGTAGACAAATTGTCTAAGGTATCTTGCAATGGTCCTTGCAGGTCCGGTGCACTTGGCCCTATAACGGATACAACGCCGTCATCTGCAAGCTGCCTTAGCGAGCAATTTTCATCAAGACAACCATCAATGTCTTTTACATAAAAATTATAAAGAAGGGGGCTTAAACATGAACCCTGGGGGAGACCCATGTAACTAATTCGTGAAGTTGTCGAGTTTCCATGAGAAAAGCTCATATATTTCTCAGACAACAAGTTGCTCAAATAGTTGTTCATAATTGGTGAAAGCCCACTATCGTGGAGTTTATCCGAAAGGACATCGATACAAACAGAATCAAAAGCCCCCTTAATGTCCAAGAAAACTGAACCCATTTGCTGTTTTTGCGCATAGGCCAGTTGAATTTCAGTTGAAAGCAACGCAAGACAGTCGCTCGTTCCTTTGCCTCTCCGAAATCCAAATTGCGTATCTGAAAGTAAACCATTCGACTCGACCCATTTGTCTAGACGAAAAAGAATCATTTTCTCCAACAATTTCCGTATACAGGACAGCATCGCGATGGGACGGTACGAGTTATAATCCGACGCGGGTTTACCGGGTTTTCGAATGGCGATAACTCTTACTTGCCTCCAATCATCCGGAACAATGTTGTGCTCCAGAAATTGATTGAATAAGTTCAACAAGCGACATCTGGGAGATTTTTAAGCAAGTTTAACTTGATTCTATCCATTCCTGGAGCTGAATTGTTACATGAAAGGAGAGCAAGTGAGAATTCCACCATCGAAAACGGGGAATCTATTTCGTTTCGTTCGGACGATCACGAACGTTGGTTTGAACCGACACCGAATCCGGGCAAACTTTCCGTGCGAAGCTGAATATCCAACTGTCCGAGTACTCCTTGTCTTCGTTAATCGGTGATGACGCGTTTCGCATTCTCCTGCCGGCATTCCAGAGTGTTCTCATGGAAGTCTCTCGCGACAAACCATCGACGAACCGACGCCAGTAACCGCGTTTTTTTGCTTTAATTAAGTCCTTAAAGGTTTTCTCGAGGTCGGTGTACCGCTCGAAATCGGTGCAATCCTTATCCCACCACGGGGTGGGAGGTCGCTTGCGGACGGAAACACCCGGAACACGTTTCGTCTGTGCTCGCAGCGCACAATCGATGATGACACGCGCGAGAAAGGAGTACTCGTCCAGCGGAGGAAGTACGTCAACCGATTGACTGGCATCAAGAACCGCGGTCGCGAATTTTCGCCAGTCAATGTTTTTCGTAATATCGTACGCGATGTCGACCGAGCGAGTAGAAGATGCACCATTGGTAATAGAAATTTTGATTGGCAAATGGTCACTACCGTAGGGATAGTGAACTCGAGCAAAGTGAGAGGTCTAATCTGCTTATTGTTGCTGGAGGTTTGGCTACTCGTGTTGCTTCCCCGGTGTTCAAAATTGTCATTTTGAAGAAGTCGCACATATCGTATATCAAGGTTGAGCGGTTGTCGTCGTACAGTTCCCCCCAGCCTGTACCGTGAGAGTTAAAATCTCCCAAGATCAACCGTGGCTCCGGCATAGCCGTGCAGAGATCCGAGAAACTTTGACGAGAAATCGCAGTTCGCGGTGGAAGATATACTGAGGCAATACTGAGGCATTTACCTCGAATATTAACCTGACATGCAACTACTTTAATGCCTGTCACCGAAGCCAGATCGATTCTGTCGAAGGAATGGAGCTTGTTGATCCCCAGAAGCACCCCTCCATACGAATCTGCGCGGTCAAGGCGAATAATGTTGAAATCGTGGAAAGCAAGATCGTTGTCTGAAGAGAGCCATGTTTCACAAAAGGCAAATGCATCAGAAAGTGAGTTGTTAACTAAAAATTTAAATGTGTCAAGTTTTGGCATAAGACTTCTACAGTTCCACTGAAGAACAGAGATCATATCCCCGACCTCATTCGGAGAATTATCCATCGAAAGATATGATCGATGCAAGGAAGGACCACCTAGAAGCTAGTTGCTTCAAAAGAGTTTTCACGAATGGCAGCACTAAATTAATAATGCTCCTCGTTGAGTCAGAGACATTGAATATACTGAAGAAGCTATCCACAATACCAGAAAACGTGAACATGGGGGCATGTTCTTGCTGATTATTCAGCTGCTTTTCTGGCCGAAAAACTGGGACATCTGGGGTTTTAGATGATCCTGGAAGTGACGGAAAGTTCTTGTCATAATTACAAGGTTTAAAACCCGGTGGAATGGGTTTCGGTGTATTTCCGTTACCTCTTGAATTTTCCAAGGTGGAAGGGTGGTCCGTACGAGTGGCCTTACAAGGCTTTTCGGTGGTGTGTTGTTTTGCTCGTTTTCTCGTATTGCCTTTAAAGACAAACGGACTACCCTCACCGCCCTCTGAGTCAGAGTCTAGATCATCAACTGGCAAAATGGAGAATGTGTTACTGTTTTTTGGTGTGGTCTGAGAAGATGAAGCGGTATTCTTCAAGAGTTCTGCTAGTGTTCTCTTGGAGCGAGCTTGCAGAGACCGCTTAAGTTTTTCTCCCTGCTGTTTATACCTCGGGCAGTTAGTCAGGGTATGCAGGCTCTCCTTGCAGTACACGCATTTTGGTGGAGCACCGCAAGGGCCCTCTTGATGTTGCTCGCCACACTGATCGCAGCGTGGTTTGTTCGAGCAGTAGTCCGATGTATGACCAAGTTGTTTACATTTCGAGCAGTTCATTACCCGAGGTACAAACAGGCGTACAGGCAGCCGAACCTTGCCAATAGCGACGTAGTGAGGTAAGGCTGAACCCGAAAACGTCACACGAAACGAGTTTGACAAGGAATAAGTTTTTTTGGAGCCTACTACGGATACTGACTGCATTTGAAGGCAGTCCAATATCTTCACCTTCGGCAGAGCACGGTTTTTAAAGATTCCGAAGGAATCGGGACCCAAGAAATCATCACTAGTCAAACTCGCTTCGGTGACCACTCCTTCAATTTCTACCTCACTACTGGGTATGTAGACTCGGTATTCCAATGAAAAAAGCTCGCACGCAACAATTTGGTTAGCCTGCTTCCGGTCATCAACGGTAACGCGCAGTTTTATTGGTGTTACCTTGAAAATATCGGTAACGGCCGAAAAATGTGTTGTTAGATCCTTAGAGATCCTCGGAATGTTCAAAGGTTTTTGTTTGGGCCGGAAAAAAACAACCCATGGGCCTTTCGAGGCTTCTGGGTAAGCCTTTAGGCGGGGGAGCGCAGAGGTTTTTGGGGGCAATGGTGTGGGGGGTGCAGGTGGACGAGAGGAGATGGTGGGGGAGAGGGTTGTGGGCGATACCTTTTCTTGGGATATGCTCCAGTATTTTTGCTGGAGAGCGAGTCAACTGGAACGTCAAGGGTTTCCATTTCCACAACTTCCTCGAGACTTTCGTGTGAGGTGGAATTAAGAGTTTCGTCGTCTGAGATGGAAAGCGACCATCCCCCGCCTTTATCATTTTCATCCATTGCGGTTAAATATCGCCGCAATGGTGTTTTTTGTAAAAAAATTTACAAATAATTGCAGTAATTTCAAATATTATCAAAAAAAAATATATATATATATATATATATATATATAGTTTCACTCTACTAACGAGTAATACATGCAAAGAAAAAAAAGCAAGAAAAAAAATAAAAAGAAAAAATAATGATTATATACTATTTACAGAGTCTTGGATCACCCTAAGTAATACAAAAATAATAATAAAAAAAAAAAATCAAGAAAAAAAAAATCAAGCGAAAAAAAAATTGGATTTTTGGATCACCCTAATTAAACACCAATCTAATATTGGACCAGGGAAACAAGGAAGATGCTATACTGGCGAGAACAATACAAACGACACGATTTATACCTAACGCACTGAGGCGGCAGCAGACTGGAGAGATATAATTGTTTGATCCAACGGCTGCAGAGTCAATAACCTCGATGCTGGTGTGCCTCGGTCGACTCGGTAGGCAATATGACGCTCTTTCGTTGTTGCTATCGATGGGGTGATGTACCGATAGTGGTGATGATTTTGCTGATGATGTTGCGATGATGCTGGGTTAAAGCTGGACCGTAATGAAAGCACTCGGCATATCATTAACGGCTTCCTCACTCGCGCACTAGTCGTCTAAACACTATGCCAATTAACTTTGGCGAGAAAAAACCCTCGCGTGGGGAAAAACTCAAAACTAAATGATAGTGTCGTACAACGAGACCGATGCGACTTGATCGGCTCAGCGTGCGAGACGGAATGAGGAAGTGATTGTTGAAATTATTTAAATTAAGCTTTTTCAGGAAGTGATTGTTGAAATTATTTAAATTAAGCTTTTTCAACCCGTTTTGGACAATTTTGTCGATTATAATGAATAGAATAGCAAGTAACAGATAAATGTAAACAATCAAACACGTTTTATGTGTGCATGACGCTGCTTAGATTTACTAGAATACATAAATTCCCTTAACTAAAATTAAATAAAACTATTTTTTTAAGATTTCACGTTACGTAGCCAGATTCGAAAACGCTCGAAAATTCCCAGACTGGAAAGAGAATCGAAGAACCCATCAAACTCCAGCATGGTCTTGCTTTGTAGATGCGCGTTTACCGACTAAGATAAGGGAGGCCCAACCGCTACTGCGAATGAGCCTTGACAAATAAATAACTATAAAAAATTACCTGAAACTTGCGTCCCGGATGCCTGTTCTTGATTTATTTGCTTCATGCTATGCTTCCGAAACATGCCAAAGACAGCTTTCCTGCGGAGAGAAGAAAAAAATAACTTAAGAATTAAAAGAAATATATCGGGCAAAGCCTGACGTACCTGAAATTTTGTCCACTGACGCAATAAAGGATGAAATTTATCCCGAAGTTAGTCATGAAAAATAAATGAAAACAGTTTTGCACAAGCACCACCACATGGGCATGTTCGGTCTGTAAGTAGAAAGTATATTTTAGTTTTCTTGTGGGAAAACTTGCACCTGCACGACCAGAGATCAGAAAGCTTACAACAAAGAAAATTTTTGTTAGAATTGCATGAAAATGTGTTTTGATGTTGGATCCTCTCTGTTCCGATTAACGCCACAGGTCCCGATCCGTTTCATGTTTCTTCGAAGGCTCAGTGCAGTGATTATTTTCCCCATAATGATGAAGAATGGATAAAACCCCCAATGAAAATGAATCCCCATCGGATCTGTTGAAATATACGATTTGCTTTTCGAAGGACTTTTTTACGCATCCCATCGAGCATTGTCGTTATTATGGGGCCTGGTAAGCAGACACGAATATTGAAGGCTCCTAATAGTAAAGTGCTAGGGGTGGTTGCGTCAGTAACTTAAAAACCGTTGATTGTAACTAAATTGTGTCTGAGAACTTTTTAATAAAATGTATTTTTTATTGTACAAAAAATCAAAAATAAAACTGAAATGCAAATTGCTTATCGCTCCAATCACTGGCGTGCACAGGGTGACGGGGCAATTTACCCCCCCCCCCCCTCATAAACAAGATTTTTATTTGCACATTAAAAAATTTATGATAGGGGAAATAGCTCTAATGTTGGCCTATGGATCTAAGATTGGGCCCATAACTAAAAGTCTGATTTTTATCAATTTTATCTAGAACAACGCGTCATTGGGACGGTACTAATGGATATTTTTAGTAGCTATTGAAAATTTAGTCGATTGCTGAATTTATGTATGGGGAGCATTAGAGGCATTTAGCAGGACATTACATCCATTTCCCTTATAAAATAACTTGATTTCTTGATAAATTGATAACTTCATTTCATAATATAAGGGCACTGAAAACCTTTGAACCTTTCCTTTGAGATGGTGCCTGAAAACTGCACCACAAAGGTGCATGAAGGGACAAACTTCAATGAAATTTTTTGGTCAATGCATAAAACAAAATACTGGTGTAAATTTATTTATTTTTTTCAAGGTTGTTCATGGAGGGTTAAAAGAAGAGCTTAAATTTAAGGTTGAAAAAATTCACCTTCGCGGTGGTAAATCGAAGAAATTAACTGAAAATTTCTGGTGGAAAGTTCGCAACACTGGTACTGCGGTGAATGTAGTAGCAAGGTTTATTCATTTTTCTGGTGCATAATTTGCATCCCTTCATTGAAAATTTATGGTGGAAAATTTGCACCATTCTGGTACATGAAGAGGTAAAGCCTGAAAATTGCATCACAAAGGTTCATGCCCATGTAACCAACAAGCCCGCTAATCGCCCTTTTTGGAATATAATGCTGATATACGGCTGATATAGAGTTTTAAAGCCCTGTAAAAACGTTATATTGCAAAACGGGCGATTAGAGTGCTATTAACGTGTATGGTGGTTATTTGGGAGGTGAAACCAACTTCACTGACAATTTTTGGTGCACGGTTCTGGTGAATGGAGGAGTATGCTTTATTGAAAATTTCTGGAGCAAAATTTGCATCGCTCTGATAAATGAAATGAACAGAAAATTTCTGGTGGAAAACTTCCACTGGTCTGGTAAATGAAGGCACAAGCTTTATATAAAATTAGGCTTTATTTAAATTTTCTGGTGGAAAATCTGCACCGTTCTGGTGAACGGATGGGCATGCTTTTCGGAAAAATTGTTGAACTTAAATTTGCATCCTTCTGCTGAATAGAGAAACAAACTTTAACAATAACTTCTGGAGTAAAATTTGCACCTTTCCAATAGGAACAAGCTTTATTTGGTGGAAAACCTGCAACATAGCTTGCTTCTCATAAGCTATTTTGAAAATTTTTGGTGGAAAATGAATAAAAGGAAATCTGCACCAATCAGAAGATTGGAAAAGCAATTTTTATTGCACATTAACGGTGAAAACTTTGCATCGTTCTGGTCAATTTAAATTATCTGGTGTAAAATTTACTGGGGGCAGATTTTTTATTGAAAATTTCTGATGTAAGATTTGCAATAATCTGCTGCATGGAGGGGCAAGCTGAATTGAAAATTCCTGATGTAAAAAATGTACAGTTCTGGTAAATGGAGGGACAAACTTTATTGAACATTTATTGTAGAAAAAACTAAAACGTTTTGGTGAATGGACGGACAACTTAAACTCGACTTCCGAGAAGAACTTCAAAGGTATTGCATTCTGAGGACAGTTCCAAAAGAAAAGATTTCTGGGGATGATTTCATGAAAATTCTGCGAATGATTTCTAGTGAATCCTGCCAATATTTCCAAGATAGAATTGAAAAGAATACCGAGAGAATCAAATTTTGAATGAAATTTCAAAGGGATGTTGGGGAAAATTTCAAGGAAATTCCGAGGATAATTTCAAGCTCATTTTGGGAAAAAATTCTGAAAAATACAGAGGAAACTCTTCTGAAACTTTAGGGGAATTTCAGTTCCAAGGTGTTCTTCAAAGTTCTAAAATATTCCGAGAAGAACCTCAAGGATATTGAATTCTCAGGACAGTTCCAAAGGAAGAGTATTCCAAGAAAATTCTGCGAATAATTTCTAGTGAATCCTGCAGATAGTTCCAAGATAATTCCAAAAAGAATCCCGAGAAAAATAGATTTTGAGTGAAATTCCAATGGGATTTTGACGAAAATTTCAAGGGAGTACCGATAATTTCAAGCTCATTCCGGGAATAATTTTTGTTTAATACTGAGGAAATTCTTCTGAAACTCAAGAAATTCTGAGGATGGACTTTTTCGCAACTGTACAAAGTTTTAAGACAGCTTTTGTATTCCCCAATTGAAAAGTGGATATTAGTTTACCATTGAAGGTTCGATTGTTGTCTTACTAGAAATTCGTCTAAGAATCTTCTCTGAAAATTTCAAGTCATTTTTTACCGTGGTTAAAAAGTTACAGCTGTTTATGTGCGTTGCAATATATTCGGGTTTGTCCTTACATAATCTTTAAAACATGTTGAATGTTCGGCATCATTTTCTGTCACCCCAACTGGCGGTACTTAGGGACAGGGTTGACATGATCAATCCTTCGTACATGTCGTGATTCCGTTAACAATCCTGTACTCGATTGTCAAAATAGTTTTGTGCGCTTTTGTTCCAATCGTTACATATTTTTTAAACGTTTTTAATGATCATTAGCCTTGGCATTTAGGTCAAAATTTGAATAAAATTGAACTGCAATTTTCGCTGAACGTACAACGTACTAGCAACGGTAGTAGTAAAGTGTAACTACAACAGCATATAAGGACTTAAAAAACCTTGACATAGTCAAAAATAAACTGTAACGATGCCTTCAAAATATACAAAAACATACTGCACAAAATTTCAAAAAGGCAACTGAATAAAAGATGATACCAGTACCTCGAAAAATATATTATCTTTAGTTTATATTTTTAACCTGTAAAGCAGAGCATGACGCAAAACATTATTACAACATTTTTCTATCAACATATTATTCGAACTGTAACATTAACTTCCAAGAAATTTAAAACACTATTTTCAATGTTATTCTGGATTTCCAATGCCAATTCTACACAATCAAACATTTTCCTGTCGGTCTTTTTGGACGATCCAAGTTGTCAGATTCCTACAGGGTTCAGAAGTTGGAAGAAAGCGACCGAGTTGCTGGGCAAACACAATCGCAGTGATATCCATGTTGGTAGTATGGAAGCGTGGAAGAATTTAAAAACCAGGAAGGGTATCGACGAAGAACTGGACCACCAAAAACAGCTAGGATTGCTGCTAGATAGGCAAAGCGGCTACAAAATCGCTATACATATAATGGAACGTTTCATCGATAGTGTGCGCATACTTTGCAAAGGTGGCCGAACACTTCGTGGGAATTCGGAAGGAGCGGAAAGTGTGCCACGCAGTTGGTGGCGAACTACGATCCTGTGCTGGAAAACACTTGGCGGAAGGTGCCAAAAATTGCCAGTACACAAGTAAGCGTATTCAAAACGACATGATTACGTCGTTGCACAATGTAATGTTGCGGAACATTGCCAAAACCTTGCGAGGAAAACCAGTGGCAATCATTGCAGATGAGACGAGAGATTGTGGATACCACGAGCAGTTTGCGATTGTCATCAGGTATATTGATAATGATCGGCCGACGGAAACATTCGTGGGTGTGAGACGGGTGTTGGAAACAGACGCGACAACCATCTTCAATACCATTGCTGAGGTTCTGACAGTGATGCAGATTTCTTGGGAGCAGGTGATGGCAATATGTTTTGACGATGCCAGCATAATGGCTGGCAGCACTGCTGGAGTACAAGCCAAGTGCAAGGACAAAAACAGCAATATACAGAGAGAGAGAAAAAAAAAGTTCCGAATAGCTGGACGGGTCACGGGTCCGAGAGTTGTCATCCTAAACAGATCCCAGTGAATCATTCGAGTCGATGTTTCGGATCCGGCGCTGAGCTGATAAGCTGGAGAGTTGCATTTCGCATTTGGTTATTTGCTTTTGTGCGGATCTTCCGCTCCCTCAGAGAATGACGGGAGGAGAGGTGAGAGCACATATCCTGGAGGAATAACATCAGCAATAAGAGCCTGGTACATAAATAAATTGGATCATACCAGTAGAAAATTAACATCGTGTAGCACATGAACATATTTCTCTCTCTCCAAAACAGCCGCTCGGAAGTTTGCTTTTACCGTTGGTGCTGTCGATCAGTAGGCACAAGTTGTATTATGCGCGCGTCTTGGTTTTACGCGATGACTGTTCAATGCGCTTACTTATGGTGTAATGAGTCCTTTTTTGATTTGAATGGAATGGATTAGACTTGTAATACCAGTGAGCTGATGAGCTGCGGTTCCTAAAAAATGAACCGCCGGACATCAGCTCATTTTAGAGAATCGGGTCTATAGAACAGCTCGGGAGCGGATCGCCTATCTCTACCATCCACCGCGTACTTTGGAGTACTCCCCATACCCAGATTAAATGCAGCATAGAACAAAAAAAATGCTTCTCCTTCACAAGATTCCTGTGCACGCTAGTGTGACC